TGAAAACTCAAAATGACTTAAACAATAAGGAAATCTGCTAGCTCATATAACTAGAAATTTAGAGACACGTGAGGTTTCAGAGTTAGTTGATTCAAGGGCTTAACACTACCATCAAGTTCGCACAATTTTTTTAAAAAACCCAACATTCTGCTCAGTCACAACAGATTGTCTTCCTCTTAAATCTGGTTCCTTTTCGGTCATGGCCTGGCTGCCAGGGGTAACTGGCCTACATGTTTCCTCACTTAGTACTAGGAAGAGGGGAGGCTAATTTCTCACATTATCTCTACAGACAGAGAAAAACATTTCTCCCAGAAGTCCCCAGCAAACACCTCTTCCTCTCTCCTTGGCATGCACTGGGTCACATGCTCATTCCTGGATCTGTAACTGTGGCAGAGGAGATAGGATTTTTCTGTTGGAGGAATAGATGGTTTGATATAAAGGATATTGGGCAGAAATGGAAAGAAAATAGGCATTTCTAAGATAAGGAAAAATTAGGGAGGAGATTGATCAGGATTAATATTATTAGTATTTGGAAGTCTAATATGGATAGGATTAGCAGATTACTTGGAGTACTTAAAAAACTCTTGATATTCAGATATAAATGACAAGATAAAAAGAACAAATTTCCTTTTAACATTTTCTTTCATTCTAATAGACTTACAAGACTCTGTTAAACAAACATGACTCTAGACTTTGGACCCACCTGTTTACATAATCTTAATATGAAAATAAGTAGGAATGGCAAAGGATTTGTTTTTCTCTATCTGTTCTATGCCTTTGGCTGTGCCAGACTCGGACACTTCACTCTGGGTTGAATATACCCTAATTAAACTGAAGTTTTTCAAATGTAATTACATGGTAATCATTTTTATTCTGCTCTAATTATAGGAAAGATATCTTGGACTAATTTTTTACTATTGAGAATTAGATAAAAGTAGGGTCAACACAAATGACATTTTAGTCTCTAATTAATACAGTAGCTATTACCCTATCTTTCTACCAACACATAACCTTTGATGGGTAAGTTGTGGTGAGAAAAGATAAATGTCATTTAGCCATAGCAAGTCTCACTGTTATTGTACACAAGTGAAAAATGGATAAAATACCCTCAATTTTCATCAAAGGAACTCGGTGATGTTGATTTTTCCACTTCCTAAAAAATGTATGAACGTAATGAATAAATGCAGATTCTATTTAAACTAATGGAAGAAATACCTGACAAAATTGCAAAATGTCTGTGTTAAAAATGCATTTTGAACCTAAAGCAAATGGTTCTCAATTATTCCAAATAACCATGATGAATTTTAAAAACATGCAACCTTCTAATAAATTTTCCTTTATTTAAAACTATTTGTTATAAAGGTTTTAAAAGCATGCCTATTTTTGATCACTTAAAAAAGAAGGGAAAGAAAGAGAAAATATCAGACTAACCAATTGTTACCTGCTACCATGCTCTCCAACTTTTAGAGGTGGACCATTGTCTTTTCAAAAGAAACAAATCATCAGTACAATTTTTTAGCCTAAGATTATACAGAAAAAACATTCTATATGTGTTATTGCAAGGTTTTCCAGCACATAGACATAGCCCCATGGGATAAAATGTAGGGCATGTATAAAAGAGAGACTCTAAACTCAACATAAACCCCTACTTCTACAGTGTAAAGAAGTTGGAAGATCCTCTTTGACTAATCTATCCTTCATGTCTCTTCCTTTCCAGCAGATCTTTTCCTCTTTTTTCTTCATCTCCCTTCTGCATGTGCTGCCTCAATTATACATGTATCAAGCTGAACATAAACCAAGTTCCTTACTTCCTCACTGTGAGCTTTACTTTATTCTATATATATATATATATATATATATACGTATATATATATATACGTATATATATCTTTTGGAATAGGTGAATGGAGCACAGCACAGGCATCAAAGAGTGGCATCTCTTCTGGGAATCCTAAAACCCTTTGGCTTTTTGCTGATTATTCCTCAATTTTTCGCTTTTCCCCATCTCTACAGAGAAACCTGAGAAGCAACCATTTTCTTAGGCAACGTGGTTCTTCCCACATGCAGGCCCCTGGGGTCTTGTTTATTTTCTATAAGCAGGCTTGTCAGAAAATATTTTTCTGAATTAACACTAATTAATGTTTGTGATGCAGTTTTTTTTTTCATCTCAACATATATCTTTAGTGTTACTTAACCAAGTAAGAGACAGGCTATCTCAACCCTGTGCCTTTTACATACTAGGAGTGACCCAGGTGCCACATGGCATGGTCCAAAACAGGAGAACAGCCTATTCCTCCTCACGGTGAAATCTTGGCCCCTCTTGCTTAGTCCATGCCTTGCTTCACACATTCAAATCCCCTGTTATGCTAACTTGACTTTTAGACTGTGATTTTCTGTTTCCAGCCATTCACTTTTCCCTTAGTGTATGCTTGGTCCCTTAGAATTCCTCTCAGACAGGGCTTTTCACTCAATTTGATTTGAAGGAAACTAGAAGTTATGCATGTACATGTAAAAAAATTTACTACTAAAATACAAAAGTTTTGGGGAGACCCTTTCAATAGACACTGATGTTTTTCTCAATTTGTGGTACTCGATATTATGTTTAAAAACATATCTTTATTGTCTTCCCAATATGCACTGAGTGATTACACATATTATCATTTAAATTTATGATTTAAACATAAATTTGCTATAAACAATATAAAAATTTGATGCTTTATTGAAATAGGATTTTATAAATTGATCAGATGTTCAAAAGGATTGGATAAAAATGCTATTAGATAACAAGGAAATGAACTCCAACTAATGTAGCCTAGACAGTACTGGTGGTAAATCTTGGGAAGAAGTAGAAGATGATATTGTCAAGCTGTAGGGATGTAAAATGATAACAATAGCTTGCAGGAAGATAGTAGGCTGCAATAGGACTGTGTTAATGAGTCTGCAATTAATGCAAAGGAAATAAATTCGAAGTGTTGGGTGACTAGGAAATTCAATTCAAAATTTCAACATAAACAAGTAAATAGTAAAGAGTAATTTGAGACGGCTAATGAGAGGGAAAAAGTGCCAGAAATTTGCAGGTTAATTCCTTTCACCTTTGATCAATTACTTATAATAACAGCACTGAATCTTTATATTTATGCTTTTTTTAATAAAAATACCCATTCCACTTCCGGTGCTCATTATTTATTAGTGAGAATCTAATTTTAACTTTTCTTAAAATGGAACATTTTTACATTGCAGATTTTATATCAAGACTTTCTTCATTGCACCTTTAAAAATTATAACTTTAATAGTTTTTACATTAACTGTTAGTCTTGGAGTAGATTTTTATGCTGCTTCAATAGATACACAAAACAGTAATGGATTGTTTTGTCATATATGACTTCAGTGCCTTATCTGGTTGACTCCAGTACTTTTCTCCCTCTCTTATTATCTTAAGTTGTACCGTATATTCATATTAAATGGTCTTCATTTGTAGGGCAAACTAATTGCTAATGTGAGAGAAACCAGTATAGGCTCTGAAGCCATATGCATCCCCAGCTCTGCCACTAATTGGGAGACCGTGAAGAAGAAACAAGATTGGACATTACCTGGATGTGTACCAAGTATTTGGGTCCTAGAGAAATTGAGAATAATCACACACAAAAAAGCACTTATAGACACTTCTGTTAGATATCTTTATCACAATAGAATACAGACATTTACAGACTAAATAGAGGAAAAGAAAGAACTGTAAAGGATTCAGTTGACAGAGGATAAGAAGAAAACTAAGAATATGTAGTAGCAAAATGAAAATGCTTTTAAAAAAATAAGTAAGAAAGACTATAAAGTGTCCTTTTGGCATAGCAACAAAGAGGTCTTCAATAATCTTGGCAAAGGCAGTTTCAGTGTGATGGGGTTGGGGTGGGGGTGAGATGGAGTCGGGGAAGCCACAGGTGGGGAAAGAGAAACATTTTTTTCCTGAGCATTTGTTCATTTAACAAATATTTAGCCCCTGCAATGTGCCAGACACTGCACAGGCTCTATGCATGTAACAGTCAACAATTCTCCCTGCTCTTCATATGCTTAGGTTATGGAAGAATGTGTTTAAATGCCAATGGCAAAAATAAGGAGGAAAATTTGAAAATATGTTGAGAGAAGATTTATAATTGACGATGGAGGTGGAATGAAAGTGGCCAGGATTCAGAGTCAAGGTGGAGGACTTCACTTAGCGAGAAGGAAGAGTATTTCTGAGCTGGGTGAGACCAGTGTAGGAAGGGAGGATCTAAGCGTTTCTTAGCATAGTTTTCCTCAAATGGACAGCTCCTAAGCTCAGACTCTTGTCACCGCTGCTCTGTGCACATGGTGCATACAGGGGTGGGAGGGAAAACGGAAGATGGGTTAACACCGAATGCTTCCTGCTGAAAAAAATAGTTACTTTAAAAATAGTCAGCTACTTCCTCCTGCAAATATGTATCTACAGCAGATATTTTAGTCCAAATTAGCCTCGGAAATATTTATGTAATTATTACATTACGGTTTTGCACTGAAGTAGTTTCACTTAAATCAAATGATCGGAGGCATAAGTCAGAAATCTGCAGAAGATTCACATTTAATAATACATCTTATTAGTTATACCGCAGAATCATAGCCCTATAAGCCAACGAAGAGGTCAATCAAATCTGTCTGAAAATCGCATTACTCACTAGGGGACTTTTCTCTTCGTCAAACTGCATTCGGACGCTTTCTTCCGCGAGAAGAGAGCTGAAGGTTAAACGAAGGGTCTGACCCACAAGAGCTTCCAATCTACCTAACGGAATCTCAGAGCCCGCCCTGGTTCTGGAAAGGCGTTTTCTTGGTTAGAGGACTTAGGAATCGCGCAGCGTACCGCCCCCGCATCCCCTGGAGGAGCCTCCGGCCTCGACCGCCGGAAACTGACAGGGGGCGGGGCTCAGGGGAGCGGCGAAAGTTCCGGGCTGATGCTGTACCGCCACCCGACGCTCCCTTTGGCGCCGCACCCTCTACGTAGTCCGTGAAACTTCCCGGGCATCTTAGCCCTGGGACCCATCACCCAGTTTATCCTCCGCGGGCGCGGGAGCGAGCGGCAGTTGATCCCTGGCGACCGCGTACGCATGCGTGTGACTGGGCCGCCAGCGTGCGTGTGACGTCACGGGCGCGCCCGTCTGATTTCTTCCTAGTTTCTCTCTAGAGCGCGGGTGAGTGAGTTTCCGAAGAAGTCTGGAGTTGGTTGCGTGGGTACAAGGTGGGTAGGGACCTGAACAGGTGTTGTAAAGAGGCTGATTTCGTTTAGATCAAAATTTGGTATAGTTATTGCAGTGAAACCTTTCATACTTGTCTTTATCATGAGCCTGCTGTGTTCAGCATCTTGCTTGGTGTTTTCTGAGCAGCTGACTTAATTCAAGTCCCCGCCCTCACAGAGCTCAGCTGGCTTGGGGAACGTTGGTGCGCACACGTTAAAATTAAATATTGAAACTAGTGCGTGTCCCAGTCTAGAGGTTTGAGAAATAAGATTGAACTTACAATGCACAAGTTGTCATCAATTCAGTAGTCGTTTCTTTCGATTGTATAGGGGCTGGAGGGAGGAGGCAACATATATTTTGGAGTAATAAGCTTTTGGTGCATAATTTGTGTGCACGATATTACAACGGCCAAAGGGATCGAAAAACGAAAACAAAACTTTTCAACCTCCCCCTTCCTTCCTCAATAGCTTGTACATTTTAAAGTACAGTGGTAAAGGCAGTTGTTAGTGTGGTTTTCACAGATCTGAAAACTGGTTTTTAGAGGTACTTCTTTAAGTAGATAACTAAATAGAAAAGGGTTGTTTCAGTGCCTTGGGAGAATGCTTGATCCTTGTAATAAAATTATAGAATAATCCCCCCTCCTCCCGTCACCCCACAACAGTGATAACTTAAAGGAAAGGAAAAGCAAAACTAAGTCAAAGAAGCTTAAAGCAGATTGTTGGTTACATTTTGGATAAAGCGCTGTTGTTTGTGTTTTCAGCAGCAACCTATCAACTTCCCTAGTTGAATTTGCTTTGGACAGCACTGTGAAGCAGATCTGATATGCCACTTGAATTAATAAAAGAAGTCAATGGGGTGCCTGAAGTTGAGCCGTTAAGTAAATTACACAAAGTAGATTTCAGATCCCTACAGCCAGGTTGTGATTATAGCAAGAAATATATCCAGGTAAGAATTTTCATAACTCAGAACAGTGATCTTTTATTTTTAGCAGTTGCACGGCCATGTATATGTGCCTAGGTGTGGTTTTTCTTTGAATTTCTCCTGCTTGTGGGTAGCTTTTTGGATCCTTAAGTCAATGTTTTTTATCAAATTGGGAAATTATTGGCTAATATTTCTTGGAATTTTTTTTTTCTACCACAGTATTACTCTTTTCTCCTTCTGGATGTTAATTACATGTATATTTATATGTTAGGCTGTTTGATATTGTCCCACGGGTCTGCTCCTTTTTCTTCAGTATTGTTTTTTGGCTGAGAGGGATTTTCAGATTGAGTAATTTCCATTTACTTATCTTTAAGTTCACTGAACCTTTTTTCTTCCATATATAATATTCTATTATGCATATTTAGTGAATTGTTCATTTTAGTTATTGTGTACTTAAGTTATGAACTAAGGAGAGTGATGGGAAAGAGGTGAGGGTCTTATTAGTAAAATAAGTCTAATAGTAAAAGAAAGAGAAATAATCCTACATTTCACTTTTGCCCTTCTAATCAATATTCTCCATATAGACATTTATCTTTTACTCTTTTGTTTTCCGTTTTCCTCATATTTTATTTCATATGAAATAAAGTTTTATGTATTACAGTTGGTCTTCTCTATTGTATTTAAATTCTTATCAAATACTTGTTAGTATTCACAAACTCATTTTGCATTTGGTAGATTAGCATGATGTTTCTTGTATACTTATATTTATTAGTGAAGTGCTATGATTTGATTCCTTTTCTTTCTGACAAATCATTAATTCTGATTATTACTGAACTGTATCTAATTTTATCATTTTTTTTATTTTGTTGTTTGATATAGAAGCATTTAAATAATACGACAGTTTGCTAATTTGTTATTTTTCTCCTGATTAAGCAGTCTCCTAAATACCAATATTTTTTTCTTTATTTTTGTTACTACTTATATTAGTGAAATACTTTTTCAATTCTAGCAGTTTTATTAATATTATAATAAACCCTTTTGAATATAAGTGAACATGTTAGTATACAATAGGGGTAAAACTAGGAAATACCTTTCACTTATTTCTCATGCTTATCACATTATTATGTACAATGCTTATTTAAAAAAAGACAAACTATATGACTTCTGCTCTTTCATCTATCTGGGTGAATCTCTTATTTTTCAACTGGCAGTTTGAATACTTGCATTCATTTTTCTAACCTGCAGATATTTCTTATGTTTCTTGAATTTTATTAAATGCATTTTACTGCTAAATTCACTGTTTTTAGTATACAGTTCTGTGAGTTCTGACAAATGTATAAAAATATATAACTACAACTGTAATCAAGCTCTAGAACAGTCCATCGCCCCCCAAAATTTTGTGGTCAACTGTTACCCCAATTCCAATCCCTGGCAACTACTTTTTACCAATTTTCTGGTGGTATATTTTTACCTTTCAAGAATGCCGTGTAAGTTGAATCATACAGTATGTAGCCTATTGAGTCTGGCTTCTTGCACTCAGCATGATGCATCTCAGAGTCTTCCAGGTTATTGTACTTATCAATAGTATTCCTTTTTATTGGTGACTGGAATTCTATCACAGTCTGTTTATCCATTCTTATCCTCTTATCCAGTGTAGCAGTATTTGGATTCTTTCTAGTTTTTTGTAATTATGAATAAAGCAACTGTAGACATTTGTGTACAGGTTTTTATGTAAACATAGGTTTTTATTTCATTTGGGTAAATGTCAAACGATCAAGTAGTTCCTAAGTGACAGTGCTTAATTCAGCTTCTAGGTTGGCCTGCTGCAGTTCAGTAGATTTGGCTAGTAAGGAGACAGGGAGCCTGAATGGATTTAGACAGCAGGCAACATGAACTTCCTGTTTGCACTGGTTCCCCTTGCCTCCTCAAGTCCCATGGGGGCATACCCAGGTTCCTACTGTGCACACTAGTGTTTGTATCCCTTCTGAGGGACACTGTGCTTAGAAAACCCCCTGTCTTATAAGAGGGTGATAACATTTTTAATATCCATATTAATTCATTCTTATCCTGAAAGCAGACATGAGATTTCTGGAGTAGAGGCCACCAATTATTACTCAGCAATAACTACGTCAATTCACCGTTCCCCCATCCTCCTCATTCAGGGCAATACAATGAGGGCCAAATGTCTTCTTGTGCTTGTAAAGGGGATTTCTTGCACTGTAGGAGAGGAACCTTGGAATTATGAATCTGGGAGTTTATATAGGTCGGCTATTCAACTTCACTCTCCCCTCCTGAGAGAGGGAGAGAAACCTAATCTCCTTAATGTAAATACATCATTGGAATGTAAAGCAATGTTTCTAGATTTCATCCATCCCTTATTGAAATGTGGAGACATAACTGCCCCTGGAAATCTCTCACTATACAGTCATCCTTTAACTTCCAAACTTGTTCTTTAACTCAGGTTCCGTTTTTCTTTGCTCACTTTAGCTAAAGACAGGAACAAATTGCGTATGACCTTTCTAATAGAATGACTCCTCTTGTAGGTAAAACTGCCTGCATAATGTTTAACTGAGGGCTACGTGATCAGCTGAGGGTGTTTTCTTAAACACTTGACTGTTTCTCATAACTACCCCTAGGAGCAAATCACATTGTCTTTTTGGTTAATTTCTGCCTTTCCCTCAGGAAGCACAATCTCAAGGGCATACATGCTACCCTTGGAGACAAAGAGTTTACAGTTGTTGGGGGCTCCTCCAAGAAGAACATAGCTCAGTCAGGCAGCACAGGTTGACAGGGTCACCTGTGTGGTCTGTCAGCTGGTAAGCCTTCAGGTCCCCAGCTCAGTCCCAATAATTCAGTTTAATCCTTGTTTTCAGAGAGACCACTTGAGGGCAGTTAGTTAAATCTGTCCTGCTTGTCCAGTTCATTTCCCCTACAAGTTGTGGACGATATTTGGAAGTATCTTACATGGAAGGTACAGGAGCTGGGCCATGCCCTGCTGCCTCTAACCGTGAGGTGGGGGGTGCAGTTAGTTTACTTTCACAGCTCCCTACAGTTGGTGAGAGCAGCCCAGTGCGTTTTCCTTTGGGGTGAGGAGAAGGCTTCTGGAATAGTTATAAAATACAAAGATTGTTAATGCCTTCCTTCCCCTAGACCTCCTGATGTCTGAGTTACTTTCTCAGGCTCTGGGCCCTTCCCCAGGTGCTAGGGATCTTTCCCTTGGTCCCTGGGTTTTTTGCTCTCTCTCCATTGTCCTGAAATCGATGTGTCCTGATCAATAACTATAATTTCACATTTCTTCAGTCATCCCAAACTCTCACCCAGATCTTTCAGTTGGTTCAGGTGCAAGAGTAACAAAAGCACCTACTTTGAGTTTAATTTGATTAATCTAATTTAATCTGATTGTGGTTCTCGATTGCTTTGTGTCTTGGTAGTGTGTTCTTTCTTGCTTTTCTGTATGCCCGTAATTTGTTGTTGTAAGCTGTACATCTTGTGAAGGGCATGGAAACTTAAGTCAATGGTTTTTATTCCTGGAAATGTGCAGGCTTTTCTGCTAGGCCTTTACTGTGGTGTGTTGAGTTAATCTAGTCCAGAGTTGAGCTGGGTTGATTTGTTGTTGCTCTCATTACTTCAGTGCACTACAGGTTTTAAATTCCTTTAGTTTGTATTTAGGGTGGGGGTCTGGTTGGCCAGAGGGTTTTTCTGATTGTCTTCCCACCTTTAAGTTTTAGGTCTTTCCTTTGTGCTTTGCCTCAGATAAGGTCCTTGTGCTTCTGTCCCAGTAGTAGACCCTGGTACTTTTTACTAGACACTTGTCAGCCTTGTGATGAGTGGATGTCCTCTATTCTGATTAAGCCTCAGTCTTGTCAGGCAGTGTGTCCCTGGTCTTGTGGTTGAGGCCTTCTCAGCCTTGACTCTAACTGCAGGTCTGGCCTTTGCACCTATATACCTATTCCTGCCCATCCTACAAAGGCTAGAAGGTGTTTTTTTCTGTTTTCCCTTCTAGCTGCAATGGGTTTCACCAAAGCTCTAAGATTCATAGGTTTGTTGCCTTTCTCCCAACAGTTTAAGGACGTTCTTCTGAAAGAAAGATAGGGAAGATCCATGCAGGGTTTCCTGCAGTAACTGCTGCGGCCGTTACCTGCCTTCCTTGCCTGAATCCGGTCAGGTTTTTGGAGAAGAGCTTGTAAGTGGGTGTGAATTCCCCTTGTGTTTGCAGCTCCCACAGGCTCCATGTATTTTCACTAGCCCCTACATGGCCTTTAGCAACTCGTTAAAAATGTAAGATGAATTTTGCTTACAGATGTCAGGCAGCATTTGCCATTTACCTCAGGTAAGCACGTGCTTACCTGCCTGTCTCTCATTGGAGGTTTTCTCTTTCCTTAGATTTCTGGTTAGTTTATTGCCTGTGACCTAAACTCTCTTGTCTCCCATCTCTACTTTCCTTTTCCTAGGTTTCTGGTTAGTTGGTTGCCTTCTGACCTCAACTCTACTGGGTCAAGAAAAATTTTGAAATTTGCACATTGTCCATCTTTCTGTTGTTCTTTCCAGCTTTCTGGAACTATTTCCTTTCCTTTGACTGAATCATTATGCACTACTGATAGCCGTATTTTAATTTTTTGCTGATTCCTATCTTACAAGTAAAATTGATGTATGAAGATAGTTGTTATTTTTTTGTTGGCTATATCAGACTCTGGGATATTAGTGTGAGAGTTATGTATTACAGGATCTACTTTTAAACTTTATTAAATAAATTATATTTCTGTGTGGAAGTTTTCAAAGAGCCCTATAATATGTTTGTTCATAGAATCATTAAATTTTAGAGCCAGAAGAAATTATAGAAACTATCCAGATTAAATATTTCATTTTATCTGAGACTGATTAAATAACTTTTTTAAGCTGATGGAGCTGTTTAGTTACAGAAGCAGAACAAAGACTGAACTGTACCTGTGCCTTAGTCTGTTGATTTGTCCACACTGTCCTTATATTTATGAGATTATCATTTTGTACTTGTTAATTTTTCTTTAATAAGTTTTCATTTCTTTCTAGGAGCCAACTCTTCCTTTTTTTCTTTAGTAGAGAACAATATTAGGTTAAAATGAAGCTGAAGTTGAGCTAGTTCATCTTTATCTATAAAATGAGCAATTGATAATATTTAACCAGTAAGATTGCTTAAGAAATTAAATTATGAACCTAAAGTATTTTTAGGCCCTCCGATTTTTCTCTAGAAAAATCACTTTTGTGTCTCAAAAATAATGACTTGAACACAGTACTTTGATTTCTTGAAAGATGAAAGTCTATTGCTTTTAAAAAAATTACTCCAATTTTTACTTATATCTTGGTGTTACATTAAGCTCTTTTGGCTTTTCTATGTAACTATTTTTCTCTCATTTCAGGGAAAACTTTCATATATCTCTCCCTTATCTAATGGTGGAAACAGAACAGCTGTTTTGAAGATTAGACTACAAGGTATATAGTATAATAAGACCATGTCTGCTTAACTTTTTGCCCATAATCTACAAATAGGTAATTATATATATGTAAAATTATATATATTAATTATTTATATTATATAAAATTTTATATATATATAAAATTATATGTATATACACACAAGCATATAAATGATTTCTAATGGGTAATACATGCACAGGAGTATAAAAATCTGTGCAATGAAAAGTTAATCTTTTCCTCACTGAAGTTTTCTTTTCAATATCTGTTCTCTCTTTCCCTCCCCCACTGCTTCTATATTATTACTTCAGATTCCTTTAACCTCCTGTCTAGACTATTACGGTACCTAACTGGTCCCCGTACTTCTGGTTTCATTAACATGTCCTAAACAGTTTAGTAAATTTAACTTTGCTAAAACGCTGCTTTCAGCACATTGCTTCTTATCTAGGTGTAGTTACATGAGATAATTCCTTCTCCCTAGAGACCCTCAGATAATCCTGGTAAGCTAGGAAGAGCTACCGTCGAATATTTGGGGAACAAAACTACTGAAATTAGTTTGAACAATGGTCTGTAGCAGAGAATGGATATTAGTCTGAATCTTTCTTTTCTTGTAATGATTTTGACTGATTTTGGTATCAGAGTAATGCTGTCCTCATGATAAGAATTGTTAAGCGGTTCCTCTTCTTCTATTTTCTGGAAGAGTTTGTCTAGAATTGTTATTATTTCTTTCTTAAATGTTTGCAGAATTCACCAGTGAAGCCAACTGTGCCTGGAATTTTCTTTAGCTTTTAACTCTAAGTTAATTAATTGATATAGGGCTATTCTTTAATTGATATAAGGCTATTCAGGTTATCTGTTTTTTCTTGAGTAAGCTTTGATAGTTTGTGTTCTAAAAGAATTTAACCATTTCATGTTAGTTGTCAAATATATTGGCATAAAGTTATTTGTGATGTATTTTTGATATGCTTTTAATGTTGATAGGATCTGTAGTGATGTCCAGTTTAATTGATTTGAAGGTTTATGACTACTCTCTATTTTTTTTCCTGATCATTCTGGCTAGAGATTTATTTTATTGATCTTTAAAATCAGCTTTTCTTTTCATTGATTTTCTCTATTTTTCAGTTTTCTGTAACATTTTCTTCTTTGTTAATTTGCTGTTAACTCTGATCAGTATATTAACTTCTGGTATATTTTTCAAATCTAGAAGTTCATCGTAACTTTTTTTTGTATCTTTCATTTCTCCTCATTGTGTTCATCTTTTCTTCTACTTTCTTGAACATGTGCCTTTAATAACTTTTCTGAAATCCTCTCTGTAATCTTACTATCTCTTATCATTTCTGGAGAGTGATGTCAGCATCATGGCAGAGTTGTTCCCTTTGTCTCTCCCCTCTAAGTTACAACCAGTAACATCCATTGACCAACAAAAGACTCCCTGCACATCACCAGATCGCCTGAGAGATCCATGCATCTATATATCTGAAGGTGAGTGGACTGGACCTCTGGGAGGCAATGGAACTAGGAGAGCAGCTCCCTCCCCCTCTCTCCGTGGCAGCAGTCCAAAATGCAAATGTTCCTGGTTTCAAGGAGCACACCTCAGGCCAGAGGCTACAGGAGCAGACATGGCACTTGTGGCTTAGCCCCTGTCCTCCCCTCCCCCTCAGCCTTGGCAGGTGACACCCATGACCTGAAGCTCCAGGAAACACAGTGGTGCTGGTGAATCAGCCCCCTCCCCCTCCCTAGGCAGCGGCAATTCCATCCCTGTTCTTTCCACCAGCAAGGGCTGCATCCAAAACATGGATAGCACTGACAGGGGTGGTGCTCCCCTGACTCGAGGTTTTAAAAAGTACACCAGTGTCCACCAGCAACCAGAGGCTTCAGGAGCAGCAACAGCACTCACAGCTTAGCCCCTGTCCCTCCCCAGCAGGGGCAGGTGGCATCTGCGATCTGAGGCTTGAGGAGCCACAGCAGAACCCATGATCCACCCCCCACTGGCAGCATCCCTGATACTGGCTCTACCAGCAATGGGAGTTAAATATAAGACCCTGGGCCCCTGGCAGTGACAGTGATACCTATGAACTGAGTGCCACTGGCAGCAGTGCTGCCAGCACCCCCAGATAACCTGGGAGCAGCAATGCACATGGTGCATGGGGCCTCAGCACCTGAGCCCACAGAAAGTCAGTCGGGGAACTTGAGACCCAGGAGACCACAGAAGCAGCAGAAGTGCTTGCAGCCTGATGACCCCATTGATGACACCCGAGTCTGCAGTGACATTGTAAACAGCAAGGCACCAGCAACCTCGGAGGCACAGGCAGCACAAGGAGGGCACTGAGGACACCTCTGTTAGAGGCATTGGAGGGTGAAAAGTGTAGGCTCTCAGATAAAACCAGAAGCAGCTCAGAATCAAAGTAATCAAAGCGTTACCCAAATAAGAAAGGTGTTTACTACCACAAATGCACTGGCAGAGGATCAGCTCAAGCACAGTAACTCATCAAGAACTACCGTAACATGGTAGAACAGAAAGAAAATGAAAACTCTCCAGAAACCAAACTTCAAGTCACAGAAGATTACAATCTAACTGACGGAGAATTCAAAGTAGCTGTCATGAAGAAACTCAACGAGTTACAAGAAAACTCAGAAAGACAGTTCAGTGACCTCGGGAATAAAATTAATGAACAGAAGGAATACTTCACCAAAGAGATTGACTCTCTAAAGAAAAAACCAAACAAATTCTGGAGATGATGAACACAATTAATGAGATGAAGAATAAAGTAGAAAGCATTGGGAATAGAGCAGACCATAAGGAAGAGAGAATTAGTGAGCTTGAAGATAGAAATCTAGATATGATTCAAGTGGAAAAGGAGAGAGAACTAAGACTTAAAACATGAAGAAATTCTGTCATTCTGAGTTCTTTTCTGTTGATTCATAACCGCCCACCCCCCTTGTTGTGTGTTTGCCTATTTTTCCTTTTTGCGTGGTTGGTAATTTTTTACTGGATACCAGACATTTAGAATTTTATATTATCGAATGTTGGATTTGTCATCCTTTAAATATTGATTGTCTTTGCTTTGGGATACATTTAATTTTCTTGGAGTCAATTTGATTAGCTTTTTTAGGATGGGTCTAGAGCAGCCTTTATTTTTGGGCTACTTCGGCCTTATCACTGATGATTCTACTTTATGCCTTGCATATAAGGATTCCATTCTGGCTGGTTGGAATAATTCCCAGCCCTGTGTGAGTCTGAGAATTGTTCTGCCTATTCCTTTCAGGTGGTTCTTCCCCTTCCTGTGATACCTTCCTCCTGTGCACTTGGAGATAGTGCTCAGCCAAAGACCTGAAGGCACCCATCTTCAGATTTCCAGAGCACTCTATCTGCACTGCTCTCTTCCTTTCAGCACTCTGTCCTGCAAAGTCTAGCCACCTTGGCATCCTCAAATCTGAACTCTGCTGAATTCATTGAGGCTGCTGGGCTTTTTTTAACTTTTACTTCTGTTTTCTGCTACCTGGAAACTCCAGGAAGTAAGCTAGGGCTATTGCTTTGTTTTCCTTCCTTCCTTCCTGCACTTCCTGTTGTCTAATATCTGAAAACTGTTGTTTCCTTAGTTGTCTAGTTGTTTTAAGACTGGAAAATAAATCCAGTCTCTGTTACGCCATCATGGCCAGAAGCGCCTCTGATAGGTCATTTAAGATATTAAAGAAGTGTGTTACATTTTGGTTAGAAATCACTGTTTTTTGTGTTTGAAGAAAATTAGTATTTCAATTTATGTATATACCTGTTTTAAGGAGTTGCATTAAAGAGGTAGGTGAAAGGAAGCATTAAGAAGCTACATAGTTGTTTCACTGCTGGCTGCCACTAGACCTAGTAGAGTAGCAGATTCAAGAGTTGTCAGTCATGCAAAGAAGACTGCCTGTTTTGGAAGGATTGTTCATGTACTTCATAGATGCATGAAAATCTGATATGAGGGGCCGGCCCGGTGGCGCAAGCAGTTAAGTGCGCGTGCTCCGCTGCGGCGGCCCGGGGTTCGCTGGTTCGGATCCTGGGCGCGCACCGACGCACTGCTGGGCAAGCCATGCTGTGGCGGCGTCCCATATAAAGTGGAGGAAGATGGGCACAGATGTTAGCCCAGGGCCGTCTTCCTCAGCAAAAAAAAAGAGGAGGATTGGCGGATGTTAGCACAGGGCTGATCTCCTCACAAAAAAAAAAAAAAAAAGAAAATCTGATATGATGGCAGTTTTTTGGAGTCGTTGCATATTTGTAAGCTGATATGAATGAGACTTTCCTCAGATGATAATAACAGAGTCTTAGCATTTGGCCCTGCTGCAGTGATTATAGGAAATGACCTCTGGAGAATGAAGATTAGGAGATTCTTTCCCAAAGCCTAGAAAGTACAAATGAGGTTATTTGTAAAATGTTCATTCCTTATTTCCCAAGTAATTTTCATTTTCAAAATCACAGACAGTTCAGTCTTTAACTACACACGCTCTGCTCTTTTACTCTTCAATATGTAAGTGCCAGGGGAGTAAACCACACATTTGTAGATTAAAACTTAATGATAACTGTAGATTACTAGAAGTTCAGTAAAAATGGAATATTTGACTGGGGCCGGCCTGCTGGCATAGTGGTTAAGTTTGTGCTCTCTGCTTTGGCGGCCCGGGGTTTGTAGGTTCGGATCCCAGGTGCAGACTTACATACCACTTAACAAGCCATGCCGTGGTGGCGTCCCACATGTAAATAGAGGAAGACTGGCACAGAAGTTAGCTCAGCGATAATCTTGCTCAAGCAAAAAGAGGAAGATTGGCAACAGATGTTAGCTCAGGGACAATCTTCCTCACCAAAAAAAAAGAGAAATATTTGGGAGGGTGATATGTTATACAGTATAAAAATTGAATAATTAAAACCTTATTCAGTTTCTTTCGATTATAAACATGGGAAAAGAAAAAGAAAGTGGTCATTATGTGATGTTAATGTGGTATTTACAGAAATTTATACAATGTATTGTAGTTGAAGATGTTTATAATTTTGGTTTTAATGCCTAGTAGCATTCTGTACATTGTTTTTGCAATACTTAAGATATTAGACTAAACTGGAAGTGAATTATAAACATTTTTATTCTTCTTCATAATTACATTTTGAAGTAACTGTAGTTTTTAGAATGTAGTTGTCATCAGTTTTCTTGTGTGTATAAAACTGCTGTATCTAATAAGTATTTTTGTCTGTATATGTGTGTTTTTCTCTATAGAACAAGAAAATTCAGATTCAGAGATCAACACCATCAATGTATCATTTTTCGGAAAATTAGCAAAGGACTGTGCAAGAGTTTTCTATGAAGGGGTAAGATATTTTCATATTACTTTATTGTTTTAGAAGTAGGTTTAGAATTATTGATGATGCTGTAGTCATCCTGTAGACCTTTTTTTAGAGATTCATTATATGTTTGGAGTTATGTAAAAAATGATACTTAAAAGTAAACATCTTTAAATTTGCAACAATCCTAAGGGGTCAGTAAAATTTATCATAGACATAAAAAGGGACAATTTTTCCTCTCACTTCATTTTAATTTTTAGTCTTCAACAGAATGTCTTAAAGATATATATATGTTTTCCCCCTACTTAATTAAAAAATAATTCTTACTAACTAAAAAATCGTATGATCTATAACTCTGTATATTTGTAATATTTTCTTATGGTTGTTTTAAAAATATGTGCCTGCTAAATCCTCAACAAGATACTACCAAACTGAACCCAGTAGCATATTAAAAGGAGTAGACACCGTGACCAAGTGGGGTTTATCTCAGGAGTACAGTTTGGTTCAACATAAGAAAACCAATCATTGTAGTACATCACATTAATAGAGCAAAGGGAAAAAGCAAATGATCCTCTTAGTTGATGCAGAAAAGGCATTTTATAGAATCCTACACCCTTTCATAATCAAAATACTCAGAAAACTAGGAATAGAAGGGAACTTCCTCAACATGATATAGGGGAATTATGAAAAACCTACAGCTCACATCATACTCAATGGTGAAAGACTGAAAACTTTCCCCCTAAGATTAGGAACAAGACAAGGATGCTCGCTTTCATTGTTTCATCAGCTGCTATTCAACATTGTACCAGAAGGTCTAGCCAGAGCAATTAAATAAGAAAAAGAAATAAAAGACATCTAAATTAGAAAGAGGTAAAACTGTCTCTGTTCTCAGATAACATGATCCTATATTTGAAAATCCTAAAGAATCCAGAAGAAAGCTACCAGAGCTGATAAATGAATTTAGCAGTGTTGCAGGGTATAAGATCAACACACAAAAATCAGTAGTGTTTCTATACACCTACAATCTGGAAAGAAAATTATGAGAACAATTCCATATATGATAGCATCTAGAGGAACAACATACCTAGGAATAAATTTAACCAATTAATTGAAAGACTTGTACACTGAAAGTTAAAAACATTGCTAAAAGAAATTAAGTAAGACTTAAATAAAGGAAAGACATGCATGTTCTCTGGTAGGAAGACTTAATCTTGTTAAGCTGTCAGTACTACCCAAAGGGATCTATATATTCAATGCAATCGCTATCAAAATTTCAATATTTTTTGTAGAATTGGAAAAGTTGATTCTCAAATTCATATGGAGTTTCAAGGGGCTCTGAATACCACAACAATCCAGAAAAAGAACAACAAAGTGGGAAGACTCAGGCTTTGTAATTTTAAAACTTACTACAAAGACACTGTAATCAACAGTGTGGAAATGGCATAAGGATAGACATGTATACCAGTGGAATAGAATTAAGGATCAAGAAATAACCCTTACATCTATGGGCAGTTTATTTTTGACAAAGGTACCAAGTCCACTCTGTAAAATGATACAGCCACTGAGTAAAACAATTTGGTGGTTCTTCAAAGAGCTAAACATAGAATTATGGGATGACCCCTACCAGGTATATACCCCAAAAAATTGAAAACAGGAGCTGAAACAGATACTTGTACACCAATGTTCATTGCAGCATTATTCACAGTAGCCAAAAGGTAGAAACAACTCAAGTGTCCATCAGCAGATGAATGGATAAACAACGTGGTATATACACAATGGAATATTATTCAGCCACAAAAAGGAATGAAGTTCTGATACATGCTATATCATGGATGAACCTTGAAAACGTGCTAAGTAAAATCAGACAGATGCAAAAGTACAGCTATTTTATGATTCCACTTATATAAACACGCAGTATAGGTAAATTCACCAAGACAGGAAGTAGTTTAGGGGTTACCGGGGGCTGGGACTGGGTGGGGAGAGAATAGGGAGTTATTAGCTTAATGGTTAAAGAGGTTCTATTTAAGATGATAAAAAAGTCTTGGAAATAGTGGTGATGGTTGTATATCATTGTGATTGTAATTGATGACACTGAGTTGTACACTTTAAAAATGGTTAAAATGGCAAGTTTTACATTATTTTTATTTTGCTTCAGTGAAAAAAATGCATGCCTGCTATGCAATATTTAAGCAGTTCAGCTACATAATAGAAAAATGAGAGACCTTGGTGACTGAAGTCCTCTAGAGTAGCACCATCCAATAGAACTATTTGCTATGATAGAAATGTTCTATGTCTGTGTTGTCAGAATGGTAGCCACTAGTCATATTTGGCTAATGAGCACTTGAAATGTGGCTAGTACAGCTGAGGAACTGAATTTTAAACTTTTTATTGTTTTAATTAATTTAAATTTAAATAGTCACATGTGGCCAGTTGATACTATATTGGACAGCACATCTCTAGAGATTAACCACTGTTTGGTGTATAATCTTATGGATTTTTCTGTATGTTATTAAAATGATTTAAAATTAATTTTCTTTAAGAATCATATGATCTCTTTGATGTTAATTGGAGACCCCCTAGATATTTGCACAACCAGATTTGGCAGTTAACTAATATTGAAGCATGTATACTTATTAAGTATATTGTTGAGTCAGCAAGAAGTCTCCAAATAAGTTGTTTAGAGTTAGGCAGTACTTCTAAAATAATGTTGCAGAAATATTAGATATATGGTTTCAGTCCTTTTTGATTTGTGGTCGTTACTAGGAAGTAAATGACATATGGGAAAAACTCTGATTTCTGCAAAACCACAGAATCAAATGAGATTGTCTGTACGTACTCTCTTTTTCATTTACATTCATTTAGGTTCAGTAAAGATTTTTTAAGGGTTGATGTTTTGCTAGACACTGCTAGTCTCTGGAGAAACCAAAATGAATAAGACACATTGCTTGACCTTATGGAGCCCACTCTCTAGTCTAATGGAAAAATCACTTAATAGTGGTAACTATAACAGAGCTATAACAGCAGCATCAAACAACTGAATCTGCCTGGAGATTTGGGAAAAACATCTAACAGTAGGTAACCTTGTTTTTTAGTGGAACATTGTATTTACTAGTCTTTAAACTTTTTATTATGGAAAATTTCAAACATATATATAAGTGGTGAGAATTACATCATGAATGTCCATATACCCATTATCTAACTTCAACAATTGTCAACATACAGACTTATTTCATCTGTTTCATCATCTACTCATTGTACTGCCACAGATTATTTTGATGCAAGTATCAGGAATTATATAGTTTAAGCCATAAAAATTTCAGTATGTGAAAGAAGTACTTTTAGGAGAAGACTCCTAAAATTATGCATATATATGTGTATATGTATATACACAAATGAGTACATACCACAGTACCATTATATTACTGAAGTATTAACTTCAATTTTTTAAAATCGTGAAATATCAATGTATTCATATATATATACACAATCTATGTATATCTATGTCTTCCTATCTATATGTATACACACATAAACACACAATTTCATTATTATGCCTAAAATAATTTGACAATAATTCCTTTATATAATCAGATATCAAGTCAGTGTTCCAGTTTCCCTGATTATCTTATAAATTATTTCTCAATTTATTTTCTTCTCTCGTGAAGAGACTAAGGTAGGGAAATCAGTGTGGAGACTTTACAGTAATTTGAAAGCTATCCTGGATGTATAAAGACCAAAACTAAAGCATTGGTGGAAATGGCATAGAATTGATTAGTTGTGCGTGTGTGTGTGTGTTTGTGGGTTAGAGAAAAGTGGTTGTCAGTTTTTCAGACAGCACTTATCGTTTAAGTCTGTGAGAACATTTGCTCCTTAGTTCTGAAGTTGAATTAATCCTGAGCAGTAATTTTTCCCACTTTTTTCTACATTAAATGAATATTTGAGTAAAAACAGCTGTCCTTGGTTATTACCTGTTCCCTATAAATTTTGTTAATCTAGCATAGCATACGTGTCTGATGTTCATTTGACACTAGGAAATGCATTACCTAGGAAATTGAACTCTGTCACTTTGGGGAGGAAATCCCCTATTAGTATATTCTTATCCCTTAAGATTTTTCTTAAAAAAGCATTTACTTCTATATCCTAAATTATTTAGGGAAATATTGCAGCAGATTACTGCCATAGCAAAAAATACAAGTTATAGTGAAATGGTTGCCCCAAAAAGTCAGCTTTAATCACAAAATTCTCTTTTGTTGCTGGTGTAATCAAAGGAGCACATAAATATGTGGATGGTGTGGAAATTTATGGTAAAATTTGGGACCTTCTGATTTTTCAGGTCAGAATATTTGTATTCTTAACTTTTTTTAAAAAGGCAAGCTTGAACACTCTCTTGCAATCCTTTTAAAATACTTTCTCTTCATTGACCAGCTGATGGGATCCTAGACGTCAGTATAGTATCTAGTAATTGGTGAGTGAGTTGTCCAGTTAGGTGAATACCTAAATAATTGTAATAATGCTGGGAATGAGGAGTACGTCCAGGACTGATAATCAACCATTATGCACGGGTATATGGCTGTACTGGCTGTTAAAATTTTCAAATAATTCTGTAGAGAATGGTAAAAAGTTGTTTGGAGCTCTCCAAGACCTTCTCGCCATCCAACCCAGGGAGCCCTGATGTGAAGAAGCATGGCACTCCCCTGCCTGCTTCCCTGCACGCTCCCAGCATGGGGAGGGGTAGGAGAGACCTTGCCTCATGTATCTAGTATAAAGTGCGGGCGTTGGGTTATCTGACAATTCTGAATAGTTCTGGCATACTATAGTTTCAGAAATCTTGACGATTCATAAATAATTCAGTGAACCTGAGAAATGGTGCTATTTTTACAAAACCTGTCTTTGGAGTCTAGAATAAAGATCCATTTCAAGGAAACTGTCAGAACATCTACTTTTTGGTTTTTTTCTTGTACAAGAATTTTGGGAATAGATTGCCGAATTCAAGTTTTGTCTTTTTTGTTAAAGCTTCTGTGAAGAGG